TGTACGGTGAACTTGGATGTCATGTCAAGAAGGTAAACATCAATGCTTTACAATTTTGAATCCCTCAAAATTTAGTAGACGTTAATAACGTGAATTCAGCAGATCAACTTTTGGAAATAGAAGATCATGGTAAATTTTATTAATTAAAGTTAATTATAGTGATTTATTCTTTAGTAAATAAATTATTTATCTTGCGCTCATTCTTCGTTTTTTTAGTTTTTGTAGTTTTAAAGGCACCGAAGAAACGAATGACTGTGTCGTGTCAGGAGTATTACTGTTACAAAATTTAAATCAGGTCTGTAGACAATTATGTGATTCTACATACTGGCAGACTTTTACAGCAATATGTAGTGGACATGTATGTTAAAATTGAAACTGCAAGATTAGACTTTTTTCGCAATAATCAAAAAGCTATAAGAGCTAAACTTTATTAGGGAATTGTAGACAATATAGAAAATGGTGAAAACATAGGTTATAAAATTGGCAAATCAATAGTTTTAGTTGGATTTATTGGCGGTCCTAGAAATATGACTAAAAGATATATAGATGCAATGTTGTTAGTTTAGAGATATGAAAAACTTGATGTCTTTTTGACAATGACATCTAATCCAAATTGGTCTGAAATAAAACGTGAATTAAAACACAATGATGAAATACAAAATAGGCCAAATATGTTAGCACGCATATTTCGTGCCAAGCTTGAGCTTGACGAACTGAAAACATATTTGATTAAGAAAGAATTGTTAGGTCCTATAGTTGCATATATTTATGTGATTGAATTCCAAACAAGTGGATTACCTCATGCTCATTTCCTCCTAATATTTAAACAAAGTTTTAAGGTTAGATACCCTTCACAAGTTGACGAAATTGTCTCGTGTGAAATACCAGACTGAAATAAATACCCTCACTTACATGTTGTTGTGAAACATATGATGCATGGTCCTTGTGGCCATTTGAATCCTAACAATGTTTGCATGGAGAACAACCATGTATGTGAAAATAAATACCGAAAAGAATACATTTAACATACTTTGTTAGGTAGTGATTCATACCGACTTTATAAGCGTCACAACGATGGTGTAAATGTTAAATTTAGAGGCTGTTTATTGGACAATAAATGGGTTGTACCATATAATTGCCACAATAATGTAGAGATATGCTCTTCTATTAAAGCTGTTAAATATTTATACAAGTACATATATAAGGGGCACGATCAGATTCATTTTACTCTAAATAAAGAAACAAATGAGCACTTTATTGATGAGATTACAAATTACCAATCAGGTAGATAGATATCTGCACCTGAAGCTACGTGGAGGATATTTAGTTTTGATTTATTTGATATGTCTCCTGCAGTAGTTTCTTTACAGAGTTACATACTAAGAATGCTCGATTAGTTACAGTCACACAGATGATTTATCAAAAGTTTATATAAAGACTTTGTTCACCGAACAATGTTAACTGAATTTTCTAAAATGAATATGTCAAATCAAAAGGCAAGGACTTTACTCCACAAAGAATTTCCTACACATTTTATGTGGAATGCATCCATGCGAAGGAGTTCTCGAAAACAGAAAAATGTTATTGGTAGAATAGTCACTGCTAATCTATCTGAGGGTGATAGATATTTTTTACGAGTGTTACTCAATCATATTAAAGGACCAAAATCTTTTGAAGATTTGAGAACAATTAATGGTGTTGTTCTGTCTACGTATCGTGAAGAATCACTTTTTCACAGTCTTCTTAGTGAAAATAACTATTCTGAGATGTGTTTAACTGAAGCGATTACTTATCAAATGCCCATATTATTGCACCAACTCTTTCCCAATATGTTGACTTTATGTAGCCCTGCAAGTCCAAGAACTTTATGGGAACAAATTTAAGGGTTTTATGATAGAAGATTATTTAATTAAAGGTCTAACACAACATGATGATGAGATGAAAGCTTTGCATTGTATAAGTTCTTTGTTAGAGAATGTTGGTAAAAGTATAAAGGATTACTGGTTGGTAGATTTTGATTTTACCGTCAAGGATGATGATATGTTTGAAACCACGATTGCTGAAGAAACTATGAATATTAATGTTGGGTTAGACATGTATTGTAATAAGAATTTAAATAATGAGCAACAAAGTGCTTACGAAGAGATCAAGCATATTGTCTATCAAGGGGAATGGGCTTAAAGCCTACTACTTAATATTGGATTACATTATATAGATATCCAGCTGTATTAGAAGGATATAGTGATGCTAATTGGATATCAGATACAAAAGACTCAAAAATCTACTAGTGAGTATGTTTTTATCATTGGTGGTGCGATCGTATCTTGGAAATCCTTTAAACAAACATGTATAGCTCAATCAATGATGTAATAGGAGTTAATAACTTTAGATAAAGCTGGAGAGGAAGTAGAAAGGCTTCGTAAATATTTAGAGGATATTCCATATCGGCCT